CTTGAAAATGAATTTTTTTCATAAAACAATTTTCATTTTATTCATCTTTTTAAGATTCAAGGTTTTTGTAAGTCTTATAAAAGGTCTCATAAACGTTGACATTTGTACCTTATAAAAGGAAAAAAAATTAATACATTAATACAGTATTAGAGAAATACGATTATTTTTAAATCCAGCCTTAGATACCAATGTTTATTAGCATGATATGAAATAAGAAGTGATTTGTGGTGTTTTGCAGTGATAGCAAATGTATTACAGAATACATGTCGGAAATAGAAGACAAAAAATACCAAATAAGTATAAAAATCATGACAATTTCTCTGAATGCCTGGATACCTATCGTTTTTTAAACCTAAAATATAATAGTTGATCAATTTGCAATTAGAAATGCATTGCTGATATTCCAATTCGCTTTTTCTGCAAAAATATTGGAGATTTGACAATTTTCCCTATATAATATGATTAACTATAATCTTAACTTTAAAGAAATACTGTGGATACATTTACATAACTTTGTGGATTCAGAGATACTTTTATGAGTATGTTTGATTACTTAACTGATAATTTTATAAACCTGAGGATCGGACTACCTTAAAGAAGAGACCTATTCTGATAAGTCTCAATACGGCTTATTTTGTCACTATCATTACCTAGGTTACCATTCGATCTTCTTCACAGCCTGGTAATTGACGTCCGTATTCCAAAGCTCGGAATCCAATTTATATTATCCATAAATTGATTCATATTTTTCTTTGTGAAAGAAACACTTTATTTGTTATCATCAACTGCTACAATATGAATGTTCTCCTGCATATGGTTTCCCTTCTTTGTGATGGAAGAAATTGAATCTCATATCATGACCAAACTCTACATCAAAGGAGTAATTAAAACTAAATATAATTGTATCTTTTAATTTCTTGAAAATGTTTATAAAAATATTAATACATATATTTATCATGGGTCGACTTTTTCCGGAAATTAAGGTTTTAAAGCTTTATTTTCTCATTCCCTATACATGTAAATAGTTTTGTTCAACTTTTTCAACCTAACTTGTTAAAACCTACAACATTGGACTATGATTTGAACGGATAGAAATCAGTACCGACAGGCGATGGTTGATTTTTATATTATAAAATTTGACAAATTTTGTTCCCGGATAAGACGTATTAAAATTGTTTTGCTCTATATTCTCGTGTAAAACATTGATCTCCCATAATTGTACCCCTCTTCCGATCATGGTTTGAAATTCGTATTACTGATTAGTTTGCGATGCTTTTGCATTCATATACTTAATCCTTGCTATTTTTTATTGTTTAGAAGAAAGTTTTTAACGTTCTCCCCAAAATAATCCCATTTGAAACATTGATTTCCTTTTGGGGACCCGTCTTATCCCAGCAGACAATAAATCTACGTCAGAGAAAGGTTACTTTTTCATCTGTTCCAGCCCTTTTTTTTATTAAAAAAATCAACAATCTGCCCGTCTTGATTTCTAGAATTCCCTGTAAGAGAAAAACAAGGATCACAAATTAAACATTTGTAAATGTTCTCCCTCAAAAGAAACCTTGTGGTAAGGTCTGTTTTGTGGTTCCGGAGGTTTGTTAAATAAATGGACAGGCAAAAGACGCTTGATCACGTGAGTTTTCAATCCAGGTGGGCTAAAGTGTCAATTTTGGAATTATTATAGCCATCTTTTTATGTAGTTCTACCATCTATTAATTTTTCTTTGAACATAAATCGATATACCTACAATGAAGCTATTGAGAGCTTGTTTGTCGTACGTAGCGAAATCTTCTCCAGTCAATATTCTGTGTATTGTCAGAAATTTCGGTTGAATAGGAGAAAATACCCAAAATCTCCCAAAGGAAAATTTTCCGGTATATATATTATTTTTCTATATCCTTGTTAGTTTCGATGTACAAAACATGTCTTCCAAAAGAGTGCTTACTTTCGACTTGAAATTTTCTGACGACTCCAATATTTCAGATAAGGGGTAATATGATGTATACATTTTTCATGCTATTTACCGGTAAGTCCTTTTTATGAACATATGGATTTCTTACAGATTTTATTCTCATGATTTTCTTTTTATTATTTTTAAGAATAAACAATTGATAGATTATTGTACAAAGGGTATAATTGTTATTACAATGCCTATCAAGAAATATAAATATTTTCTTCAATAATTCGAAAATGATAATTATTACTTTATCAAGTGTGTTTTTTTAATCAAAAAAGTGAGATCTGTTTAAATAACCAAATTTATATTTGACCAACTCATATAGATTAGCAAAATACCGGATAAATATATACCGTATAAATTAAAAAGTCCAATGCGACGTTTGGAAAGTTTAAGAGATATGAAGTTGTGATATGTTAGGTTTCTAGAAGCATTTTCACGAGCTTCTTCTTAAATTTTACCGTTCACGGTAGCCTAGTGGTAGAGCGTTCGCTTCGTGATCGGGAGGTCCGGGTTCGATTCTCGTTCCCGGCGCCGCGTCAAACCTAAGACGTAAAAATAGGTAGTGACTGTTCCTTCGCCAAGCGCTCGGCACCAGAAGTGAAAGTCACGGGTCTTTCGGATATGACCTTAAAAACGTAGGTCCCGTGTCACGGTAGGCGCTGGCACGATAAAGAACCCTCACTGCTCAATGGCCCTGAGTGCCGAGTATAAATATAAATTTGAAGCCCAAAACCGGCATACGGTGACGTCTCCATATGAGTGAAAAATTCTCAAGAGGGACGTTAAACAATATACAATCAATCAATCAATCAATCTTAAATTTTAATTAATTTAAATTTTCCGAAATAGATGCCAATAGAAAGAACCCACTTTGTATTGAAGATCAGAGAACTGGATCGTGATTTATCTCTTCATTTTGTTTATGATTGTAAAAGGGGAAGATAACGAAAATCGACCCCACCCCCAACCCCAACCCCCCCCCAGTGTGTAAAAAAAAAAAAACTATAAACAATACAAATATATTATAAGAGGACACAAAGCACAGCAACTGAAAATACCACAGGTAGGAAGAGTAATTGAAATGCCGTATATGGAGATAACGAACACTATTCCAGCTCATAAGTCCATTTAAACTAAGCAAATCAGGTGCAGAGCAAACACGGTCATCTTAAACTTCAGAGGTGGGATCAGGTGTCGTGGAAGAGTGAGCTTCCCCTGTCGATCTGTCACACATGCAATGAGCTCTTTTTCATGATCAGAAAATTACGGAAAATTCGCAAACAATTCACTGTGTAATAATGGCCTAACAGTTACTGTAAAATCATTTATTTTCATGAGGTTATAATCAACAATTTTTTTAAGTTTGAGAAAGAAATATTGGTTTGTGGGTACTTGATTTCAAAGTTAGAGAAGTATTGAGTAATAATGCATAATTATGAAATTTTACATTTCGAGGTAATCATGAATTCGACGGTTTCTCCATACCTCGAAAACAAAGATAATTAAACTCCCACGAAAATTGTGATTTCAAATTAATATGAAAAACGTCAGTTAGCAATGGACCTAATGATAGATTGTGTCTGTTGGTAAGGACATTGTATTAACCATAGACCTTACGATAACTTTAAACGAGACTGTTGATAATCCTGTTTCATCAAATTGTTTGTCAATAACTTACCTCACTTTAGAAATTTTTCATACGTAGAGCATACTCTAGTGTATCTAATTAATGCGAGATGTCAACCTCGTATGTATATGATAAGGATATATTGCTGCATGACTGCTGAAAAATTAAAGTCATTCCGTTCATCATAAAGCTTGTTTCTTGGATAACCATTCACGTCATTTTCTTATAAAATTACAAACAATGGAAAGCATTCAATAGTAATTAAAATTTTAGTGTTTACTATATAGCTAAGTATGTTGTATTTTCCTTCTTTCCTAAAATTCTGTCATCATTTTTCTAAAACATGAAAACTTGAATAATGTATACTGGTGATCCCATGCCCTTCATTTTATTATACATATAAACAAAGGAACGCTTATTATGGCTTCATTATAATTTTAAAATTTAAAAATTAATATGATGTAAAATATATCAATAAAAATATAAATCTAACATTTTGTTATTTGCCTTATGTAGAGAAATTTAGCATTCTTTTGTATATTTTGGAAGACAAAAGTTTCAGCAAGGACTGTGAGTGGTATGAAAGAAAAGGCTACTACGATAGATACCAGGGCAGAGTGGTATATGAAATTTACAAGAACACCAAAGAATGTATTGATAGATACACCTGTTGTTCACCTAGCGGGAAATACTGCTGTATGGAGTTTGATGAAGGGCCCTACGTTTTCAGCTCAGATGTGGAAGACGACGAAAGAGCGTAAGATTGGGCTGTCTTCTCTTTAGTTTATTTTAATATATAATGATATGGTAAGTGCACTGTCTTTTCTTGTCCATCATCCAAATTACCCCACGTTTTCGACTACCGTTGATGCCCTGTCATACTCTACTAACTAGACTGATTCCTTATTTTCAAGATTTCATTTCACTCTATTTATATACGATGATGAAAATAAAAATATTAGCACTTGTTTTATAGGGGAAACCTGTTCTTATTCTCAAATCACATCAAAATTATAACCCATTCAATTGTGAAATATAGTTAAAGGAACTGGAAGTTCCTTTTTAAACCGTTTGCATTGTCCAAAACGACAAAATTGACAAAAAATTATTTTTCTAAAATCCAAACTCATCCATTTATGTACCAATAGTGTTTCTAATAATTAAAAGATATACGGAAAATTAAGCTTAAAGGGTTATGAATCAGTCGTTCAAAATTAAATTTTCAAACAGACTAGACTCTTACAGCTTTTTTGTAGGTATTATTAAAACAAATTAACAATAAGTTGTCATTATCCGTCAGCAGATTAATGCTGAGTTTTGTTAAAAATCCCAGCTTTTTAAACAGTCATATTATTCTGATTATGAATCTACTACTGGATATAATACACAATATTTTTGAACTTTCGTAGCACTATGGGCCTTATCGTTGGAATCACGCTTTCCATTGCTGCTGTGCTATTTATGTGCAGTGTGTTCGGAAGAAAGCTATGCAGGAAAGTACATGCATCTGCAAACAGTAGCAACACTTCCGGTAGTGACCAAGGACTTGTGACAAGCAGTGATAGAGGTTCCAATATTTTTGTATAAGCTACATATTTATAGAATACAACCCACACCTGAAATTCGAGGATTCTTCTTATTATTTAAATCACAAACTTGACTAAAATTATTAGCTTAAGATATTCCCTTGCATTAATGTTAGTAAGGTTGCTTTATCAATCCTTACAAGATGTACGTTTACAAAACTTTTTTTCATATAAACAATAAATACCTCTCAATAATAAATTCAGAGAGCATACATTGAACAATATTCCAGAAGTTTTTATAGATGTTCAAATAATATAGTACAATATTTCCTGGCTAATTTCATATAATACAATACATTCTGACTTATAACATATAGTACACTATTTCCTGACTATTTCAGATCATGGCAGTTTTATTCTACAGACCTCGCCGTCTGTGTCATCAGATTCATCGGTTTCTGATGACGTCGGATCTCTAACAAGCAGTGGTAAATCTCTATTACATACACACGATGACTGCAAGACATTTCTCACTCTACTGCATGCAAGACGATACTACCCTAGTGAGCCACCTCCAGCTTACCATTATGTGATGAGAAACTCAGAAAAATATCCACTGCGCGAAGATATGTGTCAGTCTTTTGGGAAGTCTTATGATAATTTATAGACTTCTGGAGCAACAATCGTACAGTTATTGATTAATTGTTTCTAAAAGTACGTGATCGAATGAATGGAAAGTCGTAAATAGACTTGCCTGATCAACAAATGGAAAAGTGCAACATTTAATATTGTATTATTAAATATATGCCTTTTTGATATTGAACTAGTCGCCGTCTCACGATAGATTAAGGTGGCTCATTACATCCACAGTTTATTTTAGATTTCAATACAGCACCACTTATAATGTAGATGTCAAATATCCAGATGGGGGTATTGATATCATAAATATTTTTATAGAATTTTTTAGTTTTTGTTTTATTTTAGTGAAATGTTTTATTTCAGGTTTATTATTCACAGAATTTCAGAACTTTCAGTGTCAAATGATGGGCATCTTCTTAAGACAAGTACACAAAATGAAAATACCTCATAATACCTAATAATAATTTTATTAGAAAAAATAATTTTCTCCTAGAAAACAATTAATGTCATTATCTTTTTAATCTATGCATAAAACATTTTAAAAATGTGTTCTGAAGAGACAAGGAATGTATTTCAATGAATTACATGTGTCAAATTGAATGAAGAAAGTTTAAACGAAATAAAAAATCCAATTTAAAAAATATTTGGTATAAAAAGTCCACTTTTAAGAGTTATCTTTCCTAATTAGCAAAGACTCAAAACTATATGGAACGTTTGACATTACATCTAAAATTCAGAATAAAGCTTTAAATTGCCAGAGTATACATTTAAATCAATAAAACAAATATATAAATTAACACCAACACAGTAAATAGCGCAATTAAATAAACTTTTAATTTCAACAAGGTTGTAGATTTTAACTCGAATTTCCTCCATACATACATGTCAGTGAATGATAGAGTTCACTGCATGCATGGCTATGAAATTGACATTACTTGTTTAGCGAAGATTTGACTGTTGCTTTCTTTTGTTTCTGCCTAAAAGCAATTCTTCTTGGTTTGTGCATAATGAATCCTTTACTTTGTTTTCACTGTTTACAACACCGCATGTTTCATCTATTTTTAAAGTGTTTTAAAGGTCAGGGTCATATTATAGAGGTACCTACACAACTCGTCTCCTGAGCAAACCGGTCGACACAATGGAGGATTTTTTTTTGTGTAGTACGTCATCAAAAAGTGGTGTAATGAGCCTCCTTAATTTCTTTTTTCCGAAAACAGAAAAAAATAATTTTACTCTTTTCTTTATACAGAATGTCTTGGAATACATTTTTTATCAGATGTTTATTAAATATAACTTACAGTCATTATCGATAATACATCGTTTTCAAATGCAAGCAAGTAAAAAAATTATTTATTTCAGTACTATGTGTTATACAATACAATAGGAAACATTCAATGCAAATTTAATATTCAAACACTCTAACCATGTAGCCTATATGTCACGTTTGCAAAAATAAATGAACAACACTAACATTACATAAAGGAATCCATTTAATGTTACTTCATCACCCTCACGCAAATTCCATTGTGTCATACAAACTGTGGGATGTTAAGCATTTGCACGTTTACGTCTACTTGTTCATGTAAACCTAGAAGTGATTTTACACGTACGCGTAGCTATCATCGTGTTCTGTTTAACAAATTGCAAGTGCACCGGTACGTGTAAAACGTCAGTCCAGCAAGGCACTTTACAATTTATTTGTATCAAATAAATCTATGACTTGTAATAAAAGAAATACATTGGGTGTACGAAACAAATTCTCAACTTCATACGAAACACCGGCTGAAAAAGATATATTCTGTAGTTTGGGATTAAAGGTGAACACGATTCGTTAAAGGAATGTGTCGGCCATTTTTGTTCGGAGAATCGCTATGCCTGCAGACCCATATATAAAGGGCATGACTTATTCTCTTTTCAGTGTAATCAGTCGACACAGGTGTAGACGTGCGTATGCTATACAGCACTCGGTAGCGACAATAATATCGTAATACTTTGTATAATGCAGAAAAGTAAAGGAACTTACAATTTTAGTTGTACAGGTCAGTGCAGTATACAAACAGACACGTTTACACGTAACTGCAATAAAATGCGAACAAAGGTAATGCAAGATAACCAGCTCGAACATTGGTCGCTATTCCACACCGATATTCGTGACAATAAAGCAGTCAGGTGTGTAAAATCTGAAAAGTATACCCTGGTGTTGATGTATCGTAGATAATGGTATCGAAAATGGCGTATGCCTATTTACGAGTCGTGTTAAGCTTTAGGAAGCTACAAGTTCTCACTTTCGTGTAATTACGAATTTAAACGTAGTGTACAACTTGTAGAAGTACACAGTATGCAATACTGATGACGTAAATCGCATCAAATTAGGGGATTTCCCTAGCTACATGTACACATAGATGTATACGGTCATCTTCCTAACATCTCATTTAATTATACCCGCACTTTCTAAAGAAAGTTCGGGTATATTGTTGTTACTCATGTCCGTCCGTCCGTCCGTCCGTCCGTCCGTCCGTCCGTCTGTCACACTTTGCTTCCCTGAACTCCTCTTACATTTTACACAGTAGCCTAATCATCTTTGGGGAGATGGTTTGTGGTGTCATGTAGATGTGCAGTAAGGTTTCGGAATTTTGATTTTGCCCCAGGGGGTCAAATGGGGGTCGAAAAATGACGTTTTTTTATGCAAAAAGCCCCGTCTTCCCTGAACTCCCCTTACATTTTACAGAGTAGCTTAATCATCTTTGGGGAGATGGTTTGTGGTGTCATGTAGATGTGCAGTAAGGATTCGGAATTTTTATTTTGCCCCGGGGGGTCAAATGGGGGTCGAAAAATGACGTTTTTTATGCAAAAAGCCCCCTCTTCCCTGAACTCCTCTTACATTTTACACAGTAGCCTAATCATCTTTGGGGATATGGTTGATGGTGTCATGTAGATGTGCAGTAAGGTTTCGGAATTTTGATTTTTCCCCGGGGGGTCAAATGGGGGTCGAAAAATGACGTTTTTTATGCAAAAAGCCCCGTCTTCCCTGAACTCCTCTTACATTTTACAGAGTAGCCTAATCATCTTTGGGGAGATGGTTTGTGGTGTCATGTAGATGTGCAGTAAGGTTTCGGAATTTTGATTTTGCCCCGGGGGGTCAAATGGGGGTCGAAAAATGATGTTTTTTATGCAAAAAGCCCCGTCTTCCCTGAACTCCTCTTACATTTTACACAGTAGCCTAATCATCTTTGGGGAGATGGTTGGTGGTGTCATGTAGATGTGCAATAAGGTTTCGGAATGTTGATTTTGCCCCAGGGGATCAAATGGGGGTCGAAAAATGACGTTTTTTTTGCAGAAAGCCCCGTCTTCCCTGAACTCCCCTTACATTTTACACAGTAGTCTAATCATCTTTGAGGAGATGGTTGGTGCCAGGTGTCATGTAGATGTGCAGTAAGGTTTTGGAATGTTTAATGTCTAATTGTGGCCTGACCTAGCCTTTGAGGTTATGATTTGAAAAACTAGAAATATGTCTATAGGACATGAATGTCCCACTGGATGTATATTACTCATGCTACAGGAAAATTTGTATTAGCGTATTAAGTTTGTTGAAAATATCTTGAACAGTTTCTTTAGAATTGAAACTAAAATCTAAATAAATTTGATATAGATTATAAATCCTCACCAAATTATGTATTATAAGTGCATGCTAAACATAAAAATGTCTTAAATTATTTCTTTAAAACTAAGCGAAATACAAATTAAAAAGGATGGAGGTCAAGGTCAGAGGAGTGTGCAAGGTTAAGTTTTTGATGAAGTTATCAGCATATTATGTTTGATAAAAATATCTTGAATGATTTAATGAAACTGACCTCAACACTTTTTCTAAGAAAAGAGAGGTCAAAGGAAAGGTTAGGGCCAAAATGTTAATTGTTGCAGTTGAAAAGCTTACATCAGTATGAATTTACTATTAGCATATGAAGTTTGATAAAACTATAATTAATGGTTTATTTAAAACTTAGATAAACACATATTTTAAAAAGTGAGGTCAAGGTCAAAGGAAAATTCAAGGTCAAAATAAGTTGATGTATTAATAGCTATAAGCAGTATGTATCAGCATATGAAGTTTGATAAATATATTTTGAATTGTTTACTCAAAACTGATTTAGACATTAATTTTAGAAAAGTGAAGTCAAGGTCACAGGAAAGGTCAAGGTAAAAAAGAGTGAAGTATTGTAAAGCTTACATAAGTATGTATTATCATGTAAAGTTTCATTACACAACTTGAATGGTTTCTTTAAAATAAAGCTAAACAGTAATTTAAGGAGGCTAGGGGGTCAACAAATTATTTTTTTATTAACCACCGGTTATAACTTAAATTTGGGGATATGATATCTTAAGCCATCAACTATCATTTGGCAAAAAAAAAATTCATAAACTTTTGTTTTAAAATTTGATCATTTTATCATTTTTATTATATCTTTATATGGAGCTCTTCTTCTAAAGGAGATCAAAATAGTCTAAAAATGGCTGCAACCACCCAGCCTCTTTAAAGAAAAGTTACGTGAAGGTCAAAGGAAAAGTCAAAGTCAAAAAATATTGCTGCAGTTGGATATTTACATCAGTATGCATCAACATATGAACTTTGATAAAAATATCTAGAAAGTTTCTTTGAGCCCAATGGAAAGACAGATGGAAGGGTGGAGGACGGACATGACAAAAACTATACATGTATTCCTAATCATGGTGTGGCATAAAAAACTTGAATCTACATTATATGAGGATGTTTCCATCTATCAAGATTATACATTAGCAAATTCAAAGAATTGTGGTCCTCTGCTTTCTGTGATTTAGTGAATGGGATGCCATAATTTATGGCATATTATGTCATTGAATATGCACCCATATCATATATCAATTTTTGAAAATTAGGTCAAAGGGGTAAAATCATAGCATGTTCTGAAACATTTTGTTGCAGGTAATGTACATGTCAAATATAAAAGTCATATCTCTTTTGAATCAAAATTTATATATACAATATAATATTTTTGAAAAGTAGGTTAAACTTCTAGGTCAAGGTCACAGAGTCAAAAGTAATGT